AGTCCCACATCCCGGCTGGATGAGCCCCACATCCCGGCTGGATGAGCCCCACATCCCGGCTGGATAAGCCCCACATCCCGGCTGGATGAGTCCCACATCCCGGCTGGATGAGCCCCGCATCCCGGCTGGATGAGCTCCACATCCCGGCTGGATGAGTCCCACATCCCGGCTGGATGAGCCCCACATCCCGGCTGGATGAGCCCCACATCCCGCCCATTCCAGGGCACCCGAGATGGAACAGCGCTTCTCCCAGGCAGCCCTGGGGAAGGGTGGCACGGTCCTGGTTCAGGGGTTGACAAGGGACACCCGAGGCTGGCGGGGGATGGAGAGGAGATGGAGGTGTGGACAGGAATGTCCCATGGAAAGGCTGAGGATGTGCCGGGGATTGCAGCTACGGCACCGAGCCCTTCCTGCACGGAGACCACGACAGGAGGACAAGCGCAGCAGAGAGGAGCCCGCAGCCACCGGGCGAGGAGAGGAGGATGGCAGAGAGCGTGCAGTAAAGGAGATGCTGTCCCAGCACGGCCATGGGCGATGTGTGACCCTCCTGCCTCAGTTTCCCCAGGCACCGAGCGGATGTTCTCAGCCAGGACATTCCAGCACTCTCTCCCTGCGCACCCGCAGGGTCTCCCCATGCCAGGCCCCACCTCTGGGATGCTATTGCTTGGAGTGATGGCCCCGAGCCTGTGCAGAGTTGCCTCCAGACCCTGTTTACCCTGAGGACAGCTGCGCTCACGCACCTGCTGTTTGCTGCCTGTAAAGACCGAGAGAAACGGAGCAGGAGGGACAGCAGGGCCGAGGATCCCGCAGGGCTGCTGGGGGAAAACACCCGGCCTTGTCCTGCTGTCCCCATTCCTATGATCCTGCCAAGTGTCCTCCCCGGCTCAGGCTGGGCTGGGGACACAGGGACACTTTAATGACACCAGCGGGGGAATCAACAGCCCCGGGATGGGGACGATGGGGACGCTTTCCCTGCTGGCTTCACCCTGCCCTGTTGGAGGAGCCACGGAGGGAGCTCACCAGGCACCCCACGGGGTTCCCTGTCCCGCGAGTGGGTCCAGGCTGGCGTGGGACCCTTCCTTCCCCTGCTCCTCGTCCCTGCAGCAAAGATCTCTGCCCCTGCTTCCTCCTTGGCTTTCCAATGGCATCCATGGAGACGGAGCATAAAGCAGCGGAGCGATCGGTGCGCGGACAGACGGACAGACGGACAGACGGACACGCAGAGCGAGGGGACGGCGAAGGGGGAGCAGCCCCTGCAAACACTCCCCGGTCCGCCTCTCCCCGCGGCACAGCGAGAGAAACCGAGGCACGGGATGGGAGCGGGGGCCGGGGGAGGAAAGCGACGCTGGGCAGCTCCGAGATCCCACTTGGAAAACAAATCAGTAACTAATTCAGCTGATCCCGTCCCGATAGCGCGCCGAGCTCACGGCTGCTCCCCGGCCCTGCCTGCAGCCAGGGGGGCTCCCCCAGCCCCACTCCGGGCTCGGGGGCTGATCCTGTCCCCCCAGCACAGGGAGGGCACAGCCAAACCTCCCCCTCACCTCCCTCTCCAGCCCGGCACAACACAACCAGCGAACTTTCCCTTCCAGCTCCCCGAGCGGGGACCCCCCCGCGCCCCATCCCCACGGCTCCTACCTGCCCTCGGCTTCCCGGCGCGGCCGAAGGGCCAGGAGGAGCCGGCTTTGGTGCCCGCCGGGCTCCTCTTGCGGTGCGCGTTGCCCATGAGGCCGCTGTCGCCTCCACCGCGGCCGGGTGGAGGGCACCGCGGTGCTACATGGCCGAGCCGAGCGGGCTCCGGCGTGGCCCGGGCGGCCCCGGCAGTGACGGCTCTCAGCCGCCGGTTCCCATCCCTCCGGCCCCGGCGGAGCTGAGCGCTCGCAGGCGGCCGTGCCGGAGCCAATGGTACGGGCAGAGAGGAGGGGCCTGCCCGGATCCCACTGCACCCTCCCAGCCCCATCCCTGCGGCGGGGGTGCCTCGGCCCTACGAGAGGCTGAAAGGAGACGCCCCGGTGGCCAAA